GAAATGCAGGAAGTGTGCTTCAGATGTTTACCTGTTTCACAGTAGCATTATCATACTCACTGCATATTCAGCCATTTGAATACATTTTACCATAATAGTCTTTACAAATGGGGTTGTGGAATCCTGGAATATTTATTTGGGAGATCTACATATGCGGTCATTTGCAGTTTTAAAACGGAGAAGTTATAAGTGACTCTTGTTTGACTGTGAATTTCCTTGTTTTCCCCTGATTACCCAAAGATATGATGTGCATACTTGACGAAATTGCTTATGGGCCATTTAATAAAGATAAATCCTCTGTAAACTGTAATATTCCGGATATCAGAGAGACATAGATGGTGTCGGTGTCTGTGTGTTTTATGAAATATGAAATAGTTGTCTGTTAACAGTTGGCTAAGAAGTATTAAGACACTTAAGACACTTAAGCCACAAACAATGTCTGGTTGAACTATTTCCAGAACTAGCTTTTTTGAGACATTTTTGCAGTTACTTTTCTGGCTCAATCTGGACCCAAGGTGGATATATGATGGATGTATGAATCAGTTCTCCTCAAGTTCAAAAAGGTGTCTAAGCAGAGTAACCTCAGGTGTAGCTCGTCACATTAAATGGTTAGTTTACCCAAAAATTAACATTTTGTCATTAATTACTCACCCTCATGTTGTTCCAAACCCATAAGACCTTCGTTCATCTTTGGAACACAAGTGAAGATATTTTTAATGAGCTTTAAAGAGCTTTCTGTGGATGCCAAGGAGTAAGGACATCGTAATTTTATGAACCAACGAGAATACCTTTTGTGTACAAAGAAAACAAAAATAATGACTTTATTTAACGATTTCTTCTCTTCTGGGTCAGTCTGCCGCCATTCACGAGAGTACCACAACGCATGCGTGTGCAGTAAATAGTTTTTTACTTAAAGAATGCTTGTGCTTTATTTTGTTAAAATAAATGCCACTTGGTTTGACATTTTCCAATACTGACTAGTAGGTACTACATTTTATTTGAAACTTACTTTGCAAAAAGTATGTTCTTTACAGTATGAATAAGTATGAATGAAATTCAACGTACTCTATCTGTCATGACATGTTGTTACTGCCATGTAACTAGCCAGTGTCAGTTGTGTCACTTTACTGTCATTTACAACTCCTCTCCTGTGGCCTCATGAAATCCATGTACATCAGCTATTCAGAATCTCAACTGGAAATAGTAGGTCATGTGGGTACATACTGTTATTATTAATAATTTGAATTTGGACATACTAATCGTCTAACATACTGTTTTCATTTACTATAGTAGGGAAGTATTCAGAAAGATCCATAACAACCTCATTTTTATCTACCCTGACTAAAGTCTATACCCATGATGCAATATCCATGTGTTCAGTTAAAGATCGCTTCTTTCCTGTTACACTTCATTTTTTTAAATCAAATTTCATCTATAGAAGAAAGAACACCCTCACTGAAATGGTTGTTATAGCTGGTTATTCCCATAAGCACGCTGCCAGCAGAAATAAGCTGGAGGCAAACCAAAAAGAGTGAATGTTCCTGTAAAAGCTTATCCAAATGTTTGTTTTATCAAGGCCAGTATTGGTACTGCACAAGAAATGCTTGTGGTCTTGTTTTATTCCAGTTTACAAGAAAAGATTAAAGCAAATTTATTGTAATGTGTATTTTAATTGTATATTTTCTCTGTTTTATGGTTTAGAACGGAGATAACACTCAAGTATAAGACATGACTCAGCGTGTAGTAACTTCGGTTTAATGTTGTTGAGATGCAAAATAATCTCAAAGGTCAGTTTACAGCCAGTCAAGTGATAAAACTGTTTAATTTATGCTTTTAATTTATAGTTGTAATGTATTTCCTGTTAACACATTACTTGATTTTTTTATTGCTCAACAGGTGGCAACAATATATTATACAAGACAAGCTGAAACTGACATTCAAGTTTATTTAATAACACCAAAGAGAGAATGAGAGAGAACTTGCTTCATTACACACACACACACACACACACACATATATATATATATATATATATATATATATATATATTTCAGACGACACTTAGAGGCTTTTGCATCTGAACTCTTCATATATATATATATGTATATGTTCATACACATACACGTTTTCTTGACTGTGACCTGTAGTTGTATTTGTATGGTATTGGGCCAAAAAGGTTAAAGTAGCCATCATTTAGCTACTCACCCCCATGTTGTTCCAAAGCTGTAATCTGTGAGTAAATGATGACAGAATTTTCATTTTTGGGTGAACTATCCCTAACTCTACCTGCCTTCAGTGACACAAAGATTGAATGCCAAAGATAGGAATGCAGTGCAAGACGGAAGATTCTAGGGTATAATATGAAGAAACATGAAAAATGTTGCTGACATGTTTACTTCTTATCAAAAAATAAAATAAATAAATAAATAAAAATAAGCTGGCAATAGTTCAAAACTATTATATTTTAAAGCCTCTGTAAAATAAGGTTAGGCGATTGTGAAATTATGGCTTCTACAACAGTGCGCTCTTGTGTTCAAAATATAGAAGCGCACAAGAGATTGTTTCTCCGCACGTGGGCATTCGTAGAAATGCCAGCTGAAGATGTGCGTCATATCACAACAGTTCTACGCTCTGGCCGCATATGTACGGTGGCCGAGAGAGCTCAACGTGCTGCAACTTAAGAAAACACATGCAAATTGAAAAAACACCAGCAAATTAAGAAAACATCTTCATCAGTTTGACAACACACGCGCTGCAAATCCTCACAACACATGCAAATGAAGAAACGCGCTGCAAATAGCACGGACCACAACGGAAATGTTTCAAGGGGACCCAACAAAGTGACGGACCCGGCTGGGATTTGTTTTTTTTATTTTTTTTTATATAATGCTTTATTATCAACACGTAGCATGCACAGTGCCATATCTCACTATATAACAAAAAAATTTCACATGCCTCAACAAGAAGGAACACGGAAAAAGAAAAGGAAAAAAATAAAATTAAATAAAAAAGAGGGTACATAAACATCAGTTTACAGAGAAATACATATTATACATATATTTACATTTCCATAGGATATTACAATGCAAATTTTAATACAGAAAATATACTTTGCAGGTCAGCACCATTATTATTATTATTGTTATTTTTTTATACATTATGTGAAAATGTTAAAGGAGGAGCATATATTAATCGTTTTAATTGCTTTACTATTTTTAGATTTTGACATCACATCTACAAACATTTTAATCTCTTTTCCAAGCACTATAAAAAGAGGTTTGCCTTTTGTAAACTTGCATTTATGAATGTGAAATTTACATAAAAATTTAATAAAATGTAAATAAAACCAACATCCTTTAAAGAGCGATCCTTGATATAATAACCCAAAATCACATGTTTATAAGATAAGGAAAATGTTTTTAAAATATTATCAGCAATGAAACCCTCCACATTATTCCAAAAATGCTGGGTATATTGGCAGGACCAAAACAAATGAGAAATTGTTTCAGTGGAGCATTCACAAAAAGAGCATTTTAAACCTACATCAATTTTAAATTTTTGTAGGAATTCTTTTGTTGGATAAACTCTATGAATTAATTTATATGAGATTTCCTTAACCTTATTTGTAAGGAGGAATTTTTGAGGTAACGACCAAACTTGAGTCCAATTTACATTATTAAAGATATTGTTCCAGTAGAAAATAACATAAGGCGTAGAAATATTCTCTTTTAAAAACAAGGATCTAATTTTATAGTTGTTAGGCTTTAACCCCGAGAAACAGATAGAGCCGACTAAGGTATGTTCAGGTCTAGGAGGACAGACAGAAAGTGCGGATGTACATACACTGCTTTTGAACAGCATATGTACACCTGCAGGAATGGCCCTAGTAAGCACCTTAAATTCTTTTAATGTAATAGGTATTTTGTATCTTGAGATAAAGTCTGCAAATGTAAATAAAGTCCCTTCATTATTAAATAACTGACTCACTAATAACAACCCATTACTAAACCAATTGTGAAAAAATAAAGATTTATTTCTATACAAAATATTGGCATTATTCCAGATAAGAAAACTTTGAGGGGAGAAATTGTGTTTATAAATAAGACTCCAGGTAGCAAGTACTTGTTGGTAAAATTTAGAAAGTTTGATAGGAAGTTTTTCAATTTTATAATTACACATCAAAAGAAAAGGCACTGTGCATGCTACGTGTTGATAATAAAGCATTATATAAAAAAAAATAAAAAAAACAAATCCCAGCCGGGTCCGTCACTTTTTTGGGTCCCCTTGAAACATTTCCGTTGTGGTCCGTGCTATTTGCAGCGCGTTTCTTCATTTGCATGTGTTGTGAGGATTTGCAGCGCGTGTGTTGTCAAACTGATGAAGATGTTTTCTTAATTTGCTGGTGTTTTTTCAATTTGCATGTGTTTTCTTAAGTTGCAGCGCGTTGAGCTCTCTCGGCCACCGTACATATGTGCTTTGAAGTGATGGATACTTGTGAGTGAATTGTGGAATCTTTAAACACATGTCCGTATAAAGTAATAAATTGGATTGATTGATTGATTGATTGATTTGTCAATTTATTAGTAACAGTAGCCTACACCCTATTGTAATGTGCTGTACTCTACTGTAAAATCCAACAATGTAGGCTACACTAGATTGTTGGATTTCTTTTTTCTTTTTTCAACCTGCAATACAGTTTTTTTATACCAGTTCTTTTGTAATGTTGTTTGTCTTTTGGCAGAACCATTATTGCTATTGTACTGCACTCTCCAAAAGTACTACACGGTAGGCCCAGTATGTTTTTTTCCTTGAGGGTGGTGGACATCAACTTCAACTTTACCAACTTTTCAACAAAAGGACATCGTGAGAAGATATCTTGAAATGCATAACAGTAGGCTATTACAAAATGCAGCAACATTTGCTGGCAATGTTGTTTCTGTAAAGTGGAAGAAACTGATTATTATAATTATTATTTATTTATTTATTTATTTATTAATAATATTAATAGTTAAAAACTAAGAACTTCAGTTTCTCAATGTACATTTGCAAATTTTAATCTATAGCTTTTGTGCGGTTTGTTATAGCCTACTGTGACTAATGTGATTTTTTAATGTATAAATAGGCAAATTTTTATAAGATCAAAAACACTGCATTAAGTTAAAATATGTTAACAGTTTTAGAGGGTGCTTTGCATGTTGCACACTGCAGCAGTGTGAAATATCACAATATGGGTTACACTGTCAATTATTCATTTGACTTTATTGCTATCGTTGAAATGAAGATTTATTGAATATAAAAACTCTACAAGTGTATGATGTTTGTGAAGGCGGGGCATGGCTTTGAAAGCGAGGGGAGAAGGGGGCGAGGTGCAGTATGCAAACACGTCCAAGAGAGAGATGGCAACGTCAACGCGCGTAATGATGAGCCCATGGAACCGTCGGATGTGAAAGCGCTTCTTCCTCCCGTTGGCGATCGAACCCTAGGTTTACATATCTGATCATCTGACACTGATCGGCGCATCTCACTTCAAGAGACCAGGAACCGAAGCAGCAGCTAAGAAAAAAATCATTCAAGCGCTCTCCTTTCGGTCTACAGGAGGGACGAGAGGAGACTGACTGCGCTTCCCCGCATCATCCTCTTCCTCGCGCTGCCGATTCCCCATCACAATGGCTCTGACCATTTGCACCAGATTCACCGACGAATATCAGCTTTTTGAGGAGCTCGGAAAGTAAGTGCTGGATTTTCTACTGCAGAATCATTGCATTCCTGTGCATTTGTTATATAATATACACGTCTGATGTTGCTGAACGCACAGTGAAATGATGCGACTGCGACTCGTCTTCTGTTTGACAGCTTCGCTATAATTGCAGCGAACGCTTATAATAACCTTGCCGTGAGCGCTTGATTACATAGTCTCTGTCTCAAAGCCCAGCGAGCTGCCAACCCAGACGGCATTCTTTGACAATCACGGGCGCGTTTGGAACGGAACGATGCCCAAATTACAGTGTATGTAGGCACCGCTCTAGGTTTTGTGACGCGGCCATTGTGATCATCATGTCAGATATCCGAACAGCTGGTATATAATGTACATTTTAGGGGGGTGGGGCTCGGGCTTTTTATCCCGGAGACAGAAATACTCATGGCAATGCGACAACAGTGCAGACACACATTCCCGTGCCGTTAATTATCGCATTGGGGATTCCTTGCGTTGCGTTTGACTGACTGGGGAGGGGGAGGGTGCGCAGAGGCCACATCGGTCCGATCTGTACGGGTTTCAGGAGATCCTTGTACATTTCAGCATGTGATATATTTATCCCAACGTGCTGATGCGTTCAGATCTAAAATGTCCCAGATTGAGTTCGTTTTTAAGCCCATTGTGACCTTAAATTGAAATCACTAGAATAACAGTCCGTACAAAATATGATGTTGTCGAAACGTCTCTGCGCCATCTGCGCGGTGGCATCATGTATAAAGATTGGGCATCGCAGCTTGGCTCCCCACTGTTACATAGAGATGCCTATTTTTCTATTTGCACCATTTTTTATTTCATAAAATATGCAAATTATCATTTTACACTGAATTTTTTAATAACCGTACCCTCCAAAATAAGGCGAAACAAAATATTTGGGGTGCATGTATTTTTGCATACAAGTTTACGTTTTAATAGCCTTTCCAAACAACGTTTCACTAGTCAAAAGTCAGATTGAAAGTCAGAGTGCGCTAAATAGATGCTGGCAAAGTCGCTTTTACCTGAGGAGGTTGCTATAGCAACAATATGCTGCTAGAGATTCCATTAGGATCAGTATACCCTCACATTGACTAAACATAAGTGTGTGTGTGTGTGTGTATATATACAGTTTCTATAAGATAATGATCAAATGTTCTATAGATAAAATATTGCCTATGATATTGTAGGTGTTAACATTATAAATTTAATCCAAGCAAAAGTGGTGGTTTGCACAAGGAATCCACCTTTCCACATAAATTATAAGGTGATTTATATTTATTTATTTATTTATTAGACGCATTTTTAACAATATTTCACTGTAAAAGTATATACTGTATAATAACTTACTATAGAAACTGTATTCATACATTCTATGGTAATTTAAGTTTTTTAATTATAAAAAGGATACACAGATAATATATATATATATATATATATATATATATACGCACACACACACGCACACACACACACTCACACTCACTCACTCACACACACACACAC